GAAGAAACATCTATTGTCTCATATTAGACGCCATGCAGTCGCATTGGGGCATACGACGCAGTAGCAGCGGGACGCAGTCGCATTGGGGCACACGACGCAGTAGCAGCGGGGCACACTGCGCAGTCGCAGCGGGACACACGGCGCAGTCGCAGCGGGGCACACGATGCAGTCAGTCCGACTGTTTTAAAAGAAAACGTTATAATAAGTCAGCTTTGTATAATTCAGTAGAAATAAGCAGTGCTGTTGCAGACAGCTGAGCTGGACACTGTGTTCAGCTTGTTCTCAGAGACGCAGTGAACCGTGGAGGGAGACTGTTTTTACCTCTCCAAGCAGTTCAACTCTTTTTATAAACTTTGTTGTTTTAACATACTCGGGGGTGCAGCTCAGTGCTCCTATTTTTTGCAGCTGTTCCTCACTGAAAATTGCTGTTGGCTTTCAGTTGTTCCAACACATATTATGGGATATCACACTCCCACGTGCCCTGGCTGGAGACACCTCTAGTCAAGCATTCAAACTGGATCACCAGTGATATCTGAGGCCCCGCCTGCACGTATACAGCCCTGTAATCACAGTCATCCCTTAGTTTAAACCCTTTTCACTAAGATGTGAACCACTCCTGCTGCCCACAGAGCCCACACACTGTTAGCTCTGCTGTCTACCAACTTGCAAACAGCTTAAATACTGCTGCTGGTCCCACTGCTCCGTTGGTGTGTAGTCTGCCTGCAGAGGGAGTCCGTCCCCTGTTAAAGATGGCTCCCTCTCTTCTGTTATGGTGCAGTGCGTTCTGTTTCTAATAACCACCCATGTTCAGGGCCATCAGAACCTGTGGCCTGACCCTTGGTGACAGACTGTAAGGGCACCCTTTGGTTTGTGATTTCTGGCACCCTCGCTCCAGCCGTTCATATAAAATGCTGCATAACGAAGAATACATGAGGAACTGCGTCTGTGCGGACGACAGGATCTAAACTGATGCAGTTTCAGTTCCTGTAAACACAGCCCATCAATCAGTACATGAGCTAAGGTTGGCTCGTGTACTGGGCCAACCTTAGCTCTGAGCCTGCAACAAGCCACACGTGCGTTCAAGACACACACACACACA